AGAAATGTGGAACTCCTACTTTTGTCTTGTTCAGAACTTTTTTGTGTGCACTTAAACTTTTATCAACATATTTTTGTTAATTACTACAAGTTATTTATCAATTTTTCATCTCTTACTGTTTTTTCTTAAGGGCACTAGTTTGCCCGCAAAAAAAATAAATTGTTTCGGCTTAATCAAAACTTTCCAGGCCGTTGGATTGCTAGAGGTCAAGAAGCTCCTACAAACTCGCCTCCTAGATCTCCCGATTTAAACGCGCTTGATTTTTACTTCTGGAACCATTTAAAAAGTACGGTCTATTCGACAGAAGTGAATACAATCGAAGAACTTTGGGAAATAATTTTTAATATTTCTAACGAAAGAAGAACTTCAGTGCAAACTTTACGGTCTGAAAATTTTAATTTCATTAAAAGACTGCTGCTAAGTTAACATTAGAATGGTTATTTAAATTTAATTTTGTTTGTTTATATCGTTGCGCATATTGTTACCATGTTTTTATTTAAGTAAAATGTATTCAAACTATAATGCATATTATTTTAATTATTTTTTTTTTAATTCTTTCAACATTAGAAATCTTAAACTGATTTTTGGTAGACATTTTAAATCGGAAATGATTTATTTTATCGATATCTTAAATAACTCGGTAAATACAGTAAAGTCTGCTTATAATGAACCCGGTTATAATGAACTTTCGGTTAAAACAAACTTTTTTCCTTTAATTGGAACGTCGTCCATAAAGACCAACGTATTTTTCTACTGGTTATAACTGACTTCCGGATAGAACGATCACTTTTTAGGTTAGTTGTATATTCACTTTCCGTTTATAACGAACTTCCACGCTCAGCAACACAAATCGTGCGGGGTTGTTTATATTAGTGAGAGCGAGAGACAGTCAATGACTTGTTTTTTGCCGCGTTATGTATGTAAATCGTTTTAGAATGGAAAAACAAAAACGCAAAGCTTTTTCACTAAATGAAAAGTACGAGATTATTAACAAAATAAAAAGTGGAGTAAAGCAGAGTGACGTTTGTAAGGAATTAGCACTTGCAAAGTCTACTGTTGCAACAATATGGAAAAACAGATAAAACATTTTATCAGCGTATGACAAAACAAATGTTAGATGTAGGAAGTTAAAATTATCTGCACATGAAAAGGTTGATAAGGGACTTATTGAGTGGTTTACTCAAAAAAGACAAGAAAACGTTCCCATAAGTGGCAGTTTTTTGCAAAAAAATGCTAGTGAAATGGGGAGTAAAATCAAAAACAAAGAGTTTGCTTGTTCTAAAAGTTGGGAAGAGCGTTTCAAGAAGAGGCATAATATCAGTAG